AGTATGAGTCAATGTAGAAAGGTCTATTAACACATAGTGAGTGAGAAAGGTGACTGAAGAAGAAATACTCAGTGCATCATGAAAAGCCTCCAGCAGCCTGTTGCAGCATAACTAAGGGAGGATTCAGGGTCGCCTGTTTAGTCGTATAGGGTCCAGGGCTAAGAAAGCATCCTTCTTACCATGCCCTCTCTAAATTTATATTCTGAAAGATGTGATTCTAATTCTAACTTTTGGCAATTTATACAGAATTTTTATGTATCTACTAAAGTTTTCTTCAGAACCAAATCTTTTCAGAGATACAAATAGGTGCAGTGCTGCAAAAAAATTTCACCCTATTTTCAAACTTGCATATTTAAGATACTCAAAGAAGTTTTAATATTAGACAAAAAAAAAAACTAACCAGAGCAAATACAAAATTCAGTTTTAGATGTAAAAGACTTCTTGGTGACAATGAATGAGGATGAGGATATTCAATTTCTTACCATTCGTGCATATACCAAAAAAAGCTGAGGGGTAGCACTAGTGGCCAAAAGTATTTTTAAATGATGCTTTCATTTATCAGAGGAAAAAAGTTATACAAACCTACCAGGCCTTATGTGAAGAGTAATTGTTCCTTAAACCTAATAACTAGATGTGCCTCCCATGACAACAAGAATTCATAGAAATCTATAAAGATCATAAATGTGTGACAGTAAAATGCAACACCAAGTAATGCTGCAGAAAATAATCTTCTGACTTCAAAAGTATATCAATTATTACCTGAATTCATGATCACAGTGAGCACAAAGAGTGGGCACAAGCGGTGTTAAAGGTTCTACAACAGTGGTCCCCAACCCAGTACTGTTTTTGTAATACCAGTACTGGTTTTATTTTGTTGTATTTATCCACAACACCTTAAAGGCTGGTTCGTGAAAATATTGTTTGACATAAACTGGTCCGTGGCGCAAAAAAAAGGTGGGGGATGGTTCTACAATGTCCTAATTAATTTGGCAAGGCATTATATTAGTAGTCATGATTGACTGTGACCGAGAATTTCTTTTTGCCATCATATAAAGGATTTCTTTGTCAGCGCATAGCTGTGGACTGACCAATGCTCCAAGATCATCAATTCAAAACAAGTTATTTGGATGTGTCACCACTTTGCCAAGGTCTCAAAAAAGGCCCAAGGAGTGGAGCCTGCCCCAGCTGTCAATCTCCCACTCCCACATAAGCACACTGTCATACCCTGTCAACGACATTGATTAGCTGCGTATATACGAATGTGAATCGCATTATTGGCTGGACTATGGGATAAGGTGGCATCGTTCTAATCCCATACGGGAGCCGCCAGTCACTCACTGACTAACACTGTAAAACAGAATTGTTAAAGTATTAATTTTAATTTCAATTCAAGTAGTTTTTTTTTTGTGCGCAACGCAGATTTTCTGTGCGCAGAGACCGTGCCAGCAGTGCGCAATTGCGCGCGCAGCTTAGAGGGAACATTGCTCTCCACCACTATAAGGTAGCGATCCATCTCATAATTACCATCACATATTTGTGTTTTGTCTTTTTCTGCACACAATGTACTGTGGAGAAGTTTTAGAAGTAGACTGTCACTCTAACAGATACTAACAGACTAAGATCCTTCACATTAATGGGGCTTCTGTCATAAATCTGCCCTTATGGAATGCACCGTAGCTCTGTCTTTATGCAGGTCAGAGGAGGGTAAGAGGTGGTTGCCATGATAATGGGTGAGGTGGCATCTAAACATAAGAAGTGCCAGAAAGTTGCAGAAGAAACCTGAGGCCACCCTAAACTCTTTTGACCAATCACCTTAGTGTCTGGTTTATCACACATAATAAAAAGCATTTACTATATGGGTGTGCTGCTTTTTGTTCGTTTGGATTTCCCCAGGGAGCAAAGAGACATGGCAGCAGTTTTTTGACTTGAACCTTCAACTGCTTAATAAAACAGTATGAGCATATTTGTCTTCCCTTTCTCAAAAATGTACCTAACAATAGACATAGGGAGAACAGGCAAACTGCACACAGAAAACTCACAAACAAACAGGACGTTGTAGAATGTTTAGCTGATTTTAGAGTTTAGAAGTGTGTTAACATAGAATGTAGAACTATTGCTCGTGCACATAAACACAGATAAGAGTTTGCAACACACCGTAAGGGGTTTTATGATGGGGACGCTTCTATAAAGCTGGCTGTAACTAACAAAGGGGTGAAGATTTTGGAGAGGGACACCGGCCTCGTCTTCCCTTCTAGAAGTGCATGCTTAAATGAAGATGAATAAAGATTTTGTGAAAATAACTACTGAGTTCCGGTGCCATCTCTGGATGCTCGAGGAATAAAAAGAACCGGGGTAAAACTGATTTCGCAATAACGTTCAAAGTCTTTCTTGCTTTGAGATGAGTGATCAGTGACAATATTTATACCATCCTGTCTAACCTAATACCAAAACAAATATATAAATAAAAATATATGTACTATATATGTATATCTTAGCATTACCTACCTTTCACGTGTTCTGGAACCTCCTGGCAGATTTGCAGAAGAGTTTTGACCAGTTGTTTCTCATAATTCACAGCTTCTGTTTCATCTTCTCTTTGTCTCAGTAGTATTTTCATGTTACTCTCATCTTTACAACGACCGTCATCACACAGGCCATCTGGAGGAATGTAAAGAAAATGCCACAAATGTCTAAGTATAAAAAATTATGAAGTTTGAATTAAAAATAAAAATTTCAAATATATATAATTCTATATATTCATATACTTCTTTGCCAAATCAAATTTGTTGATCATAAAGAATAAGACTGACATGCACTGAGTAAAATAAGTATTGATAATGTCTCCAATTTTCTGAGTAAATATATTTACTAAGGGTGCTATTGACACAGATTTTCACCAGCTGTCGGTAACAACTCATCCAATCTACACATGCAAAGAAATCAAACCAGAGATTTCCATAAATTAGCTTATGTGTAATAATGAGAAATGACACAGGAAAAAAGTATTGAACTCATAAAGAAAGGGAAATGCAAAAAGGCTTGGAAAGTCATGA